ATATATATATATATATATATAAAATAATGAATTAAGAAAAATTAGTTTATATGCATGAATGTATGCTTTGTATAAACATTGAAAGTTTCTTTTAAAAAACACATTAAAATAGTCTATAAAATATTTATTACACTTATATTCTGGAAAAATATTATCATATGTAGTTTGTTATCTTATAACCAGTGTTTGAATAACATTAAATTACTATTATATATACTATATTTTTAACAATAAAATGTTTTATATATATGAAATACTAATAATGTAATGTATGCTCTTAATATTTTAATCATATATTACAAGCATATTTTAATTATAATCACATGCATACTATTTTGATGAATATATTTCATTCTTTTCATATTAATTGAAATTATATTAACAGTTACTTCTTTTATTGCAAAAAGTTTGTCTTGTATTTTATTTTTTCCAATAGTTCTATATATTAGAGTTAACAAAGATCCAAAATTACTAATAGTTTTCTTTTTGTGTATGTATTGTTTGAGTCTTACTTAGTTTATGTTTTTGTAGCATCTGGAAGAAAATTATCTGTTCCTGGAAAAAGGGTGGGCACAGCTATAAGCAAAAGTCAAACATTACCACGCAGCATGGGACGTTCAACGCCAGTACAATCTTGTCATAGAATTACACCTATTAAACCATCATCTACACCACCTTCTGTAAAAAGACAGTTATCAGTACCTGGAAATGGCTCACCTATTAGAAGACCAGGAACACCTACTACATCAAATAGTAATAGAGGGACACCTACAAGAAAACTACCTATTTTAAAAGGGATAGATCCAAAACTTGCACAAGTAATTTTAGATGAAATTTTGGAAGGAGGAACAGCAGTACATTGGGAGGACATTGCTGGTCAAGAAGTCTGTAGCTATTGAAGTGTATATATATATATATATATTGTTAAATAAGAAAGAATATATATAAACTTATAATTTTGCATTCTTTTATGAAACAGACTGCAAAGCAAGCATTACAAGAAATAGTCATCTTGCCTTCATTAAGGCCAGAATTATTTACTGGCTTGCGAACGCCAGCTAGAGGATTATTGTTATTTGGTCCACCAGGAAATGGAAAAACATTACTTGCACGTGCTGTGGCTACTCAGTGCAATGCTACATTCTTTTCAATATCTGCTGCTAGTCTTACATCGAAATATGTTGGAGAAGGAGAAAAATTAGTACGAGCACTTTTTGCTATAGCACGAGAATTACAGCCATCTGTGATCTTTGTTGACGAAGTGGATTCATTGTTAAGCGAACGTAGAGATAATGAACATGAAGCTTCACGGTAGATTTATTTGAACTTTGATTATGTAAAATAATTAATATTTGTCTAATTAACAATTATTACTTAGGCGATTAAAGACAGAATTTTTGGTCGAATTTGATGGTTTGCCGTCTAATCCAGAAGAAAGAGTGTTGGTTATGGCTGCCACAAATAGACCTCAAGAATTAGATGAAGCTGCATTACGGAGATTCACAAAACGAGTATATGTTACATTACCAGATTTGCGAACAAGAATTTTGTTACTAAAACGACTTTTAGCTAAACATAATGATCCTTTAACACCGGAAGAGCTAAATGAAATGGCAGTTTTAACTGAGGGCTATTCTGGAAGTGATTTAACAGGTTTAGCAAAAGATGCAGCACTTGGTCCCATTAGAGGTATGACAAAATTTCATAAATTTTCTATCACACATTTTTCGTTGTGCTTATTTAAAATGGACTGAATGGATACATGAGATTTTGACCAGACAGTCTAATAAATAAATTAATCATTGTTAATTATTTATAAAAAAATATAAAGTTTGTAAAAAAAAAATATATTGATATTATACAGAACTTAATCCAGATCAAGTAAAGGAATTGGATCTTAATTCCGTTCGCAATATTACAATGCAAGATTTTCGTGATTCACTTAAAAGAATTCGTAGATCAGTGTCACCTGCAAGTTTGGCAGCTTATGAAAAGTGGAGCTTCGAATATGGTGACGTAAGTCTATGATTCTTTGATGTACAAGGCTACACTGAAATATCTTACACTAAAATATCGGCACATTTCAAAAAAAAAAAAACAAGAAAAAAATCTTAATGACGGAAAATAAAAGCGATTTTCTGCGATATTAATTATTACAGAATGTAAATATAGCAGCTTTTACATTTTCTAAGCTAATTTATAAATGACATCTATATATAAAAAGAAAATTATGATATTGCAAAAAGCACTCTTGCTAAGTACTGTTTTTTAAATCATATTACAGCAGTAACACTGTAATATTAATAGCTTTATACTACATATATGGATACATTCTATACTCCATCCAGTAATCAGGTATCATAGATTTAAATTTCACTCTAAACATGTTGATATTAGAATTCCGACGTTTGTAATTATATGATCTATATAGATTTTTGTAACTTTTTTATTTTACATTTAAACAAACCATGAACTTTAATTTTATTAAATTATAATTAATTATTCATTTTTTTGTTATGGGTTAATGAGTATAAATTATTCTAACAATATAAAGAAGGATATAATTCTAACAATATGCATTTTGTAATATTTAATTACTATTCAAGCACAATTGATTTGAATAATATTAATAGGAAGACTATATTTGCACATGAAACAACTCACGTCCAGTCAGATAATAAAACAATTAATTAATGTATTGGGTATACACATGAACTACTGTTGTCGAATAAGCTAAAAAAATAAATGAATATCTTGGTCTTGTACAAGCATGTGCTAAAAGTAAAGTATGCAAATAGAATCGTTGTGGGCATGTGAATTTTGTAAAAATGACAAATTGCGCATTGTATAACAATTTGGAGGAAGTATTGCAAATATTATTCTTGTTATGTTTGGTAACATTTCAAATATTCGTTTGATAATTGTTAAAATAAAGTTATATAATTAAGATCTCTTAACAGGGGATATCATGCTTGTCAAATTATATATCAATTCCTGATTTGATGAGATTTCTATGAGACAACGAACTGGAATTATATATTTGAACTTTGAAAAATTAAAAATATTTATTATTTATAAGTGAATATCGGTAAAAAATTAATGTTATAATAAAAGTATGCTACAAGAAGAAGTTGCATATATAAAAGTTTTTGATATTCATCTACTGCTTCAAATGCTCAAATAAAAAGTGATTGTGCTTGTACAATATAATCACTGATTTAAAACCATATTTTGCAAAACTGTAATATTAAGCTTCGACATTAATTCAATATTGTTTCAATTTGAAGTTATTAGTTAATAATAATTCTTAATTTTGCTCAATGTATATTTCTTCATAAGAGAAGCGTGGAATGATCATTTCTTCACGTAGTAAATCATTACGATTTTTTCCAATGATAATGCAACGAGTTGAAGCTTCTCTTGTATAATCAGTAGTTAATATTGACTTATAGTATAGTATAATCCATGCGTAGTATATTACGTAAGGATTGAAATATTTATTTTATATTTGTCATGTAATGAAAAAATGATTGTTCGTTTCACTTGTTAGAATTTTTAATACGAGTTACGACCGATGCACTCATAGAAAAGTGGTAGTAGCTGTAAAAAATATAAATTTGCGCAAAGTTGCGCACTTCTTTCTATTGAACATGCGAACATAACTAACAACATAAATAATGCCAAAGTTCAATCTCAGCATTGTATTAGTATATAAATGTATTAAGTTTAATATATGTATTACAGAATGCGATATGTAATTAATTTTGTTTGAAAAAATTATGGACTGTTAAGTTAATGTTAAAGCTGTTTATGTTGCGACAGTATAGTATGAACTGTATTTAAAGTTTTGGCCATATGTAAAGTATTCTTTTTTTTTTTTTTTTTTGCGTTAAATAATTTATGGTAAGCAATAAGTAAAATATTTTTATCCGAATTTTATCGATCATCTTGCACAACAGACTGTTATCAATATGGGGATATCTCTATTTACAACCCTGGCCTTCCATGTTAAAAACACGCTCAGCCTTGATTAAGTTATTTTGCTACTTTTATAAAATCTTGTAATAGGAAATTCTTAAGAATATAAGCAAAATAATAATGCTAATATTAATTATTGCTACGTAAATTAAAAGTAATCAAATGTGGATTAAAATATGAATTGCGTATGGTTGCATGAATTATGCAAGTTTTCCTAATTATATAAATTCCAACCCCCGTTTTTTTCGATGTTACGAAAGCTATTTTGATAACAGCATAAAATTGATTTTAAAAAAATTCATATCCACTTTTAATATGCGTAAATGTGCAATTTTACTAAAAAGATAATAATTTATTAGCAAAATAAGTAGTAATTGATTTGATAAAACGTAACATGAAAAATTGTAAAACTTATTTTTATTTCGTGAATGATGTGTTCTTCATAAATTTCCTTTTTCAATTTCATTTTTGATTAAATGCCAAATCTATATTTTTCAACAATATTATAAATTACGTAAAAAAGTATGTCGAACAAGATAGAGACAGATATTATAATTGTAGATTGCAAACTAAAATTTTCGTTGAGCAACTCCTCCTTTTAATATATTATATCGTAGCATTCTTCGCTTGATGAAACAATTAACAAATACATATTTAATTAACGTTGATATACTCAGTGACATCATGCAATTAAATAGTAATTTTTGAATGTAATTGAATAGTATAGTGTCACTTATTGTACAAAAATATTCTACTTAGTATTTTGTCGCTGTGTGATCGAGATCGAGGAACGCATGTATTGTGTGTAATAAAGTGTACAGTACAAACTATTCTAGCGCATTTCATTTAAAAAAAGGAATGCTCACAATTTTCACGTGAAAATGAATTAAATTAGTCACAATTCTGCTGAATTATCATTTTGGATTATAGTACTAAAATATTCTAACTTGACACTGATATAATATTCGCGAAATTTGGTTTGATGTAATAATAATAGTATAACTAGCATAATGTTTTCCGTGCTAAATTGAATATGTTGATGCTGTTATACAGAAATAGTTATTTCCTTCAATAAATCGCAAACATTGTACTTAACGTTAAATTTTATTGTGTCAAAAAATCAGTCAGAATTATATTTTCTACATAAACTATCAAGTATTTTAAGTGCTCGACGAGATTGGAAAAAAATTGTTTGGATAACGTAAACGATTATTGTAAAAGTATGTCGGCTGTAAAATAAAATTACCTTGTATGTACTTAAAAAACTTATTATATTATTTTTACATTTAACCAGTTATAAACGAAGGTACTACGTTTCTTATAAATTTAAAAAATTACTTTTGATATTATTTCATAACTTTATATTTTATAATAACGTGGGCTATGAAATAATACAAAATATTGTGTATTTTAAATATTTATTCCTTTTTTTCATTCAAAGGACAATTTGTTTTTATTATAAGATAACATTATCCTAAGCATTTTCGAGGGTCTCGCACCCTGCTGTACCTAAATTACTTTTCATATAACATTTTTTTAATGTCTTCCATCCATTCAGTGATTATTATTAATCCATAGACAAGTTTTTTTTTTTCTTGGCTTCTCATAGTTTCGATATCACTTATCGCAGTCAATTAATCATTGCTATATTTGACATTATGTTTCTCCTGTTATTACATTCAGTACTGACTTTATACAAATTGGTTTTCAAAGATTTATGGCTTTTTATCGTCGGTGGTGAAGCGAAGTATCGACAAGTATCGACTCTAACTCCTCGCTCTAATTTTTTTTATTGTTAATATATTAACTTTTCACTAGTAAAATGAGTGAATTCTGAAAAATCAATTTTGAAGAATGAAAGTAACTTTAAAAAATATATATATATAGAATTAATTATATTGAAAATCGAAGATATACAATAATTTTTTATAACTTGTATAATAATTGGAAGACACGAAGGCATAAGTATCGTGCCACACGACAATTGCAATAATATCGAAATATCAGATAATATCAAATGTGATTGTCAATTGATATACTGATTATTTTAAGAGAAAAACTGAATATTTTACAACATATTCAAAGGAACATACCTTCAACTATTGATATAGAAATTAATGAAGGTAAAATAGTAGTGACTCCAACCTCTTAGTGGAAGTGTTTATCATTATCATTATCATTATACTTAAATTACATTTTAATAATTACACCAAGATTCACTATTTCTTTTGTACAAATGGAGAGGAGTCACTAAATAATATAATAAAGTGTATTCAATTAAGTATTAAATTAGACATAAAATATTTAATTTTTGACACTTCCAGGAATATTTTCTTAAAATTGTTTATAAGACTGTGTTTTGTACATTTACCACCGACGATAAATATCACAAAACGAGGAAAGTTTATAACTCGTTTATCGCACATTTTATTTTAATAGGGCCCTGCATACGTCAAAGCATGCATCCAAATCTAGCTACATCACAGGCGCCGTGTCTACCTATACTTCCTATCTTATACTATGTTCAATGTCGTACTTTGTGTTTACCATAAATGAACATTCATCTTTGTTCATTAATGATTTGAAATAAACTAAAGATTGGTAATTGTGGCAAAAATATTAAAAATATAACAACGCAATGTTCGCATACATACGTACACCTTACGCAGCACAACGAATGCAGGGCTCATCAAGGGGCTGCAATTTTAAGTTCAGAAATATACCTCATTCAACACTATAAAATACAAACCATTTTGAAAAGATTATTATATTACACTGATGGATTGACTGCTATGATATATTTTCTTTTTCCAATGAACTTGCATTTATTACAATAGTATACGTTTCTATCGTTTGGCAAGAGAAACATATAAGAAAAATGTATATTTAATGTAATGTGTGAAAGTGTATATATCTTCATATATATAACACTTTGAATTTTTTATGGTGTCTTTTGAAATATTAATTAAATATCAGTCGATATTGATACAATTAAATTTAAGACCTTTTTTTTACCATGTATAATACTTCAATTGAAGTAAAACTGGAGAATTTGTACATGTTGCAGTCAAAATACCAATGAACTTGTTCGAATAGGTATATGACAGAACAGATTTTGCAAACGCCCCAGGGGCAAATGTACCATATGTAACAATTAGTTGATGTTGATCAATGATCAATTTCATTGCGTGGGGTATTGTGGCATAGTATATGTTACCATTGCAGGTTGCTGACCTGGTGGCAATGGTGCAGTTGCGGTCGGTGGGGCAGCGGTCGCTTGTGCAGGTTGCCATGTTCCTGCACCAGGAGCAGGCATTCGCATGCTATTCATATATTGAGCCTGTTGTCCATAATATTGACCATAGTACTGAGCAGGCTGTAAAAACTGGCCTTGCATTTGTGGATATCCTTGAGGATACCAATAACTCATTTGTTGGCCATATCCGTATGCATATTGTCCAGCTCCAGCTGTAACCTAATAAGCAAAAGAGACAATATATATCTTTATATTTATTACTTTTTTAATATGTTAAAGACAGAATATATCTGTAATTAGAATAAAAAATATATGCATTATAATAACCTGTTGAGCTTGGTGATTTGCATTTGGACCCACGCTGTTGGGATCACCATTTTCTTTTCCCCAAAAACATTTAACAATGCTACCATTAATTTCTGTATTATGTGTCGATTCTATGGCATGTGTTGCAGCTTCCTTAGTAGTAAATTTTATGAAAGCGTATCCTTTGTCCTTAAATACTCTTATATCTTGTATGGTACCAAAGGGAGAAAAAGTTTTGGTTATCAGGTCATCTGTAATGCCATTTGTAAAACCTCCACAGTACACTGTGCAATTAGTTGGACTACTTTGGTTATATACCTATTAACAATAATATAGATGAATTAGGAAATGAGTACCATTAGTTAATTTAATTAAACATAGAAACAATGAATTTGCTAGGCATTATTCATTGAAATTTTAAAACGTACCTCTTCATAGTTAGGTTTGCTATTATTTGAATGCCGTGGCCTTTCGGATCTTGGTGGTGGTGGTTTCCTAGTTGACCAATTTGTCCTGATGCTTCTGGATCCAAGCCACTGACCATTCATAGCTGCTATCGCTGCTTCAGCTTCAGACTTCTTCACAAATGATACAAAAGCATATCCTTTACTTTTCATGGTTTGTGGATCGCGTACAATTCTACAATTGCTAATTTCGCCAAAAGGCGCAAACGCTTCTTTTAAAGTTTGTGTTTCAATTTCTGGCGACAGATCGCCGACAAATATGTGATGATGATTACTCGTATCCAACTTCGGCTGATTTCCAGGGCTCGTTGCCCAGTTAACCTTCATTTCCTTATTCAGGAAGGATCGCTTGTTCATGGCGGCTAGCGCTGTAGCCGCGCATTGATGATTTGTAAATTCGACGAACGCATATGGATCGTTCCCTGGTTCTCGTATAATTTTGCATCCTTTAACTGCACCTATTTGTGAAAAAAGTGCACACAATAGTTCTTCCGACACCGAAGAGTCTAGATTTCCCACATAGAGCGTTCGCGGATTGCTTTCTTCGCTCATGCTCGTTCTTTCAAGACCCCAGTACTGCCTTATTTAACTAATTTCCTTCGACTTTCCTTCGACTTAATTTATAATTCACACGTTCAGTGCGTGGTACGAGCATTTACCTCGACCCCAGCATCAGAATTCAGATTTTCTCGCCTTTTTTAAAGAACACGGACGGTTCAACGCGAAGCTACACCCAGCCTCTACGTCATACTAACATAAAATGGCCGCTCTCCTGCTTCACTACTTTCCCTTCAATCATCCACATAAACTTTCCTATTTTACCGATTAACTTACTTAAAACTATCCTTCCTTCACGTCCGTTTACTTTCTTTTAACTACTTGTCGGAACCTTCTTAAATTTACATGAACTATCTAAAACTTTGTCACCTAAAGTGTAAAGAACACGTGTTTTTGTATCATCCGTCGAAGAATTCATAACAGGTAGCGCGAAAACGCTTGTGAATCATTGGCCTACAAAATTCACTAGACAATTACTTCCTTAAGGTTGATTTTCACCAAATTTTTACTTTTTTCTTCGTACAATGATTTATTTTACTTATCCTCTACAATATGACAGCAATTGACCAAATTTTATTGTTTAAAATTTAATATCATTAAAAACTGTATATGATAATTAAAAATTTATTTTATAATTATTTCCACGAAAAATACACATATTAAAAAGTAATAGTTCAAGCCAATATTTTTTATTAAAATTAAAATATAAGAAAAGATACAAAATTGAAAAGAAAAAGCATATTGTCATTTATGTAAATTATAATAAATTGTACAATCGCAAATAAAGCACAACCATTTATCGTGAATAAGCGTTGATATATTTAAAACATTAAAAATAAAATTGTTCAAATCACATCAAATGAATATTTTGACATCAAATAATATAAAATATTGTAGGAAATAATATTTCATGCATTTTAAACTATCATTACACAGCAGATATTAACTTTAATAGTAAAAAAAAACATTAGTTTTTGGATAGATAAAAGTATTTAAAGACAATTTCATTTTGATAATTATATTTGCCAGTAAATATATCAATGTAGTCTGTATCAACAATAATATATTTAAATTTTATTTAACTATTAAACATATATTCCTAATATTACAGTAAGAGCAATTCCTGATGGAAATATCTCAAATAAAGTTAATGCATCATCAACACCAATTTTCACTGATTATCATATAAACTATAAATTTTCACTTTATATACGATCATATTATTAATACTAATAATAAAAAGAAATATTCTTTTTACTGGCGATGAAATTCTCACTTATTGTAATGCTTTAATATAAGCTGGCTTTTTTATACATATGATAAAATATAATTTGGACATACAAAATAAATTATTTATAAATACATCATTGCTTATTATATGATATATATGTTAATAAAAATTATATTTTTTAATTAATTTAATTAATTTCTAAATCATGGCAGATTATTATTATTTATAATATTAGTAATTATTTGTACGGCAAAATAAATTTTATAAAAAATGCACAAAATTTTTACCGGGTTTTAATAATAACATCATAAGAATTTAAATCTTCATATCTATATTTATATTTAAATTTTTATATCACACTTAATACTTTTTTAATCATGTGAATGTAATAAATTTTGTAATTATTTTTATATTATTATTTTTATACCAGCTTATATGAGCAAAAATACATTTATAAAACCAAGTATAGAAACTTAAATTGCATATTAATAAAATTCATTGGTTCGTGGCTGTTCAGTCTTTATGATATATTAAAAATTATGGAAATATTATATTGAATCTTGAAACATGTCATGTTTTATACGTTTTAACAAACTATAAGAATATTCATGCGTTAAAATTTACTCATTATTTACATTATAATAAAAATAAGAATATTAGACAACAAATTATTGTTATGTAATATAAAACGAATACTTATTAAATACATAAATTTGTGATGATTTTGAGTATTATGATATTAAGCATATGTACAATTTATATACATTAAATATAGAAAAATTATTTAAATTGTAATACTTTGCCTTTGATCTGTTACGTCTGAAATTGAGTAACAAGAAGCTTTGTTGCTTTGGCAATGTCATAAGCACATGAACGTACTTGCTGAAGGCATCTGTCCATATGTTCTATATCGCTAGTACATCTCTGAAGACCAGAACATTCTGCTTGAAGTCTACCTGTATTACCATTTAATTGTCGCAAAGCAGATCTGATGTTTTCTTCAATAGGATTCTACAACATTTAAATGTGTTTAATATAAAAATTTATGTTTACGTTTGTAGAATAAAAGAAAAATACATGTCTTACTTGAGGAAATATAGCTGTGAGTTCAGCAACGGCAACACGAATTCTTTCTGCACAAGGTACAAAAGCTTCTCGTTGTTTTGGATCTTGCATGGCCATCCATAGTTCCTGAATTCTTCTTGTAACTTGTTCAGTTCTTCGTGTAACTTCCTCACTCGGCGGAAGATTGGGAGCACCGCATTCCCATAAACTTTGAGTGTTACTGCGAGACATTGTCTCTGAATCTCGTTTTGACTGTATCGATCAAATCTTATGCAATAACATTGACAAACATAAGTCAAAGTATTTGTCATCAAAATTAATACCTGACAAATAGATGTCGACCACGAATTTGGTTTTCGTAAACCTTCTCGTGTCTCATACATAGACGCAGGTCGCTGGTTGCTTCTAGTAAGAGATGTTTTTATATCATGCACTGGTTCTAGTTCTGGTTCTTGTTCTCCACTAACATGACCATTAATAACTCCATCAGTGGATCCCTTCACCTATATTTTTTGTACATTAGATTTTGTACATTAGATTTTTCACAATATATTATAGAGATACTAAATATTTGTCTTACATGAATTATTTGTTTTAGTTCATTATTCTCCTGTGTTAACTGTTCTACAGTACTCTGCAAAGTACGAATCTGTTCTCGCAGATCTCTGACGGTAGATTCGGAGAGAGTTAATTGTTTTTTCAAAACTTCTACGAAAGATGGAAGTCCCTTGGCTAATGGTGCAAAAGCGTCCTGCAATAGTATTTTAACATACACAATGAAATTTCACTTTTATATAATAAGAAAAATAAAGAATACTTTTTTTTAGAAATTACATTATACGATTGTTACAAAACAAAACACATAATCAATATATCCATGTTATAAATTTTAGTAAACTATGTATTATGAAAGGTGCAACAAGCACTCTGGCAAAGGCTGCACATGCACTAACAGACCTATGCACTTGCCTAATAGCACTGTCTACAGAAGAGCCATGTACTTAGCCGATTCCTTATTCTTCTTTTCGTTACTAGAGCTGGTACCTTTAATACGTTACCATATAATTTTATCTATTTTTGACAAATAACTTATCGTCCATCTTTTTTATATCTTATGCCTCTATATTTACAAAAATTCTCTTAGTTTTATATTAAAGTAATTTAATACATACCTCGTTATCCATTTTAAATTGTGTAGAATATTCAGGCACTGGATTGTCAGATGATGTCAATGCATAATCATCATCAGAAGCAACACTATCATACAATGGTTCATCATCAGACATTTGTGATCCATATTTTCCATGTTGCTCTTTACGAAGTATGGAAACAGCTGGATCTAGAAATATCATACTTATTAATTTAACAGATAAATTGAAAGAAATCAATTTATACATTTTTGTACAAACCTTGCAGTGATGTATTATTTGCAAGCATATGCCTTCTACGAGCCTCAATAAGAACATCTATAATAAGCGTAGCAAACTCCTTTGGTGTAAATCTTGCTAATTTTTGTCTGCCTTGATTTCTTGTTGATGATAGTTGTGGATTGACTGGTAGAAAAGGCACTGTACATTTTTCTGGTAAAGATGTAGTTGTAAACCAAACTATTTGAGAAACGTAAAATAAAAATTAATTAATACCATTAACTACCAATATTAAAATATGTTTATAAAAGTTATTTTATTATTCAAATCATGCATATATTAACATACCATAACTTAAAATTAGAAAGTATTATTGAAAATATTTTTAATTCAACTCACCTCTCCTTTAAAATGATGCAATAAAAAAAGCATGCATATTAATAGCACAATATATAAAAAAGTATGGATTAATGTAATATTTTCGTTTCATGTTACATGAAAATCATCTTAATTTCAATAAAAACAATTATTTAATAACGTATATGGATAAATATTCACGTATTACTATAAAGCTACATATTAAATTTATCAATTACGAATGATGTAGAATTACTTTCAGATGCTAATCTATTCACTTTTTAAAATGACTATTTATATAATGCAATCATATCCTTACTTTCTTCATTTTCTCGACGATCTACTTCATCATAAACATCCATTGCCAATTCTTCCAACAAATGATTTGATAACTAAAAAAAAAAACACAATTTATACAATATAATTCATATTCTAATAAAATTTAAAATTACCATTTGTAACTTATTCCTTCCTTCAAAACACAGATCATTCTGTAATGTGCATTCAGGAATAATTATATGTTCATCCAGTCCATGGTTTGGTTTACGTGAACATATAAAAGATGTTAGTCTATCTGTTAATTCATACATGCATTCTATTATACGATCTGATAAGTCTATATGTCCTGCCATCCTAAACATAAAATATGTAATCATTATATATGCATAATATTTCTCCATATACAATATAAAATTGGTATTGTTACTTGGCAATTTCAGCAGGTGTCTGCCCATTTGAATCAATTATGCTAGGATTACCACCATTAGCTATTAAAAGCTCCAACTGCAAAGCTTGACCTGCTCTAGCAGCAACATGTAAAGGTGTTGTACCTTTTTCCTATAAAATCAAATATTGTATAATATGTTTCTACTATTGAGCTGTATAATATAATTATTTAAAACTACCTTGTAAAAATAACTTGGATTAGCACCTTGTGCAAGTAATCTTAAAGAAGTTTCTAAATTACTTGTACGAACACTACTATGCAATTGTTTACTTAACTCTTCCTCACTACAACATTCTTCTTTACTTGGGCGTAATATGAATGTCAAATGTTGATGTTTTGCTTTGATAAAATCAGCTTTTATTGGACTATAAAAATAATTAAATCATTAATAAAATTTCATGTCTCATATTCCTTTAAAAGTTAATTTATACTAACTGTAGAGGATCCTTAGCTTGAGGCTTCCTTCTACTGATTTTTGAATTATTAGGATCTAAAAGGGAATGTTCCCAAATACTGTTTGCTCCATTATCACTTAATGTGTACACCATCTATAAGTCAATTATTTTTTATATTATAAACATTTCAGACATTTTGAGCTACACATATTTGTATTTGTTTTTACTAACATTAAGGAGATTTGTATGCCAAGTGCTCTTGTGAAGTGATTTTATTTGAGATATATGACGACCAAGGCTACGATGTATACCACAACAATCATCGCATAATAAAATTGCTCTATTCAATGAAGCCCATCCTGGTTCTGAAAGCAGTTTTACAATTTATTCTCATGTCATTTTTACGATAAAATACAATATTATTGACGATAAATTAATGTATCAAATTATAATAAATATAAAAAAATAATAAATAAAATACCAAATGATAATTTTTTCTAAAAATTTATATAGTATCAATTATAAAATTCATTAATTATACAAAAATTTTGAATAAAATATCATTTTCTTATACATAAATTAATTATCTTACATAATATATACACGTAAAAAAGTATATAAAAAATGTAAATACTATTAATTAATTTTGACCAGTTTAGAAACAATTTTTTATTAACATGTGATTGTATGATATTAATAAGAAAGTAAATTTAATAAAAATTTTATGTTAACTGAATTATTAAGAGAAAAAAAGGAACTTACCGAGTGCTCCACAGTCAGCACATATATCCGTGTTAACTCTGTGCTTCGGCCGAGCCATTCTCATTACGTTTAACTGTTTAAAGTACGGTAATCAGATTTGTTATGAGAAATTTAAAGGGCGCAACATAATGCACAGGTTCTTTTAAAAATAATAGTGTCAAAAACCAATGTAGAAATAAGAAGTCCTAATTTGGATGTCATTATATATTTAATGATTTTACTGTGACAGAAATCGTCTCAAGCGAACTTGAGGTAGTTGCACCATTGATCGAACATCCTAAAAGATACGGAATCATACGATATACTTTTGCTTACATTTTAGTTCATTCTAACCTATTCCAATTCTATGTTATATTAAGTATACTTTTTATAAAATATTTATTGTAAAAATTTAGACATTCTTAATATTATAAAAAAAAACATTTTATATAATTACTGTTTTAAAACGACAGTCTTGAATTTAAATTTGAACTCTTTTATTAAAATTAGTATTTTAATAAATAGATGAAATATTTTATTTATTAAAAATAGATATATTTATTTTACATTTAAAATTTAAATTGTTACATTACTACACACACATATAAATATAAAACTTACACACACTAATAGATAATAATTGTATTACAAATAATATATCAGAATATGGTACATAATACATTATATACTAATAATTAATTTCAATTCAATATAATTATAAAAAGTAATTCATGATCAAGAATCTGGTGATTCAGAGTATAAATTTTGAAGATCTGTGAGCAATTTATTTGATATATATGTTGCATTAAGGACAGATTTGTCCACATTATCTATCTGGCATAGAGATCTGAACTTTTTACCATCTGGAGTTTCTAAAAAATTCATATTTGATTTTAAAGCCATGTATTCCCTAAGTGGTCGTTTTTGTTTACATTTTTTTGTAATTTTAGGTGTTTTTAATTGGAAGTCATTTTCCATAGGTTTTGCATGTGTAATGTTAAGTTGATTTTCTAATTCTAAGAAACTTCCATCTGCTGTATTATCAGACACTTTTTTCATACTCCAATCTCTATCATTTTCTTTATTGTCAACATTATCAGTTACTATAATTTGTGGCATTTTTTTTTCTGAATACTGTGCTGATTTACAACAAGTTTCTACTTGAATTTCTTTGTCTATCATAGTATTATTTGCTTTTCTTAACTGAATATTAGAAGTAATTTTTTTATCAAATAATCCTACAATATGTGTTAACATTGATCTTATTTTAATTACATTTTCTTCCGTTTCTGTTAACAAATCTTTTAAATCTCGTTCCAAACGATTAATTTTATCTCTACTTATATAAATCATCTCAGATGATTTATGTTCCATATTTTCAGAGGTTACTAACATTGTATCCTGTAAGTTATTACATAAATTTTGAATACAATCATCTGTTTCTTTTGATTTTGAAAATATGTTAGACTTCGAAGTATTCTTGTTTGGTATAAATTTCTCATGTATTGAATTATTTTGTATAAATACCTGATCCTCATTATTTATCTGCTGAGGAGATTTAGAGAAACTTGAAATTTTTGGTGTTACATGTGATGTTTCAAAATGTTGTGTAAGATTGCCAATAGACTTTGATTTCAAATGATCAGAAGATCGAATAATTTTCTGATCATTATATTTTTGCTTACTCTCAATGGATGCTGCAGAATCAATATTAACATTTAATATTGATTCACCTGTGATTTGATTTTCATTCTTAGAATCAATATTTATTTCATCCACTTTTTTTGTCGTACATATCATTGATTGTCTAATCATTTTCTTATTACACTCTTGTAAGTGTCTTTCTTTTATAGTGTTTGGTGGTACTAATAAACTTCTTTTCTTATTTGGTTTAAAAACTTTGTCATGAAATTGCTCAAGTTTATTTGATTGATTTTCATTTTCATTGTCGTTTTTTGTAATTTTGGTAGAAATTCCATTAAAATTGAGAAATCTACGTGCACACCTGTTAGAAGATATCATTTCAGTACCTAATAAAAATAAAATATGTTATTATAAACATTCAATTAAAGATATTAGTATACTAACCATTTTGTTTGTCATTTAATTTTATATTTTTTTTATTTGAAAGTATACCCAGTCTTTCAGGTTGTGCCCTTTTACGTACTGAAATGTATTCATCTTTATGAATATATAACACTTATATAAAAAAAATTAAGAACAAAAAATGAATATGTACCACTGTCTTGTGCAATATTTTTTATACTTTCGGATTGCTTAAGCAACTGAGCAATTTTAATTGGTTGAGGTCTTTCATAATCTATGAAATAAAAATTTAATTAATATTATTATTTAATTTACATAAAATTATATTACTGAAATTACCTTTTTTAGACGTACTGTTTGATAATAATTTTGGACAAGTTGAACATTCTGTCATCCTTGTTAACTGTAACCGTTTAACTTTGGATTTACCCTAAAAGAAAATATATGGTTATATATAATATTTATAGATTATTTATATATTTAATTTACACTCACTGTTGAATTAGATTTGACAAACATTTCTAATTTCTAATTGAGTAATAACGTTTCTAAAATCTCTATATTCTTTACATTATAATTTATACCACAAGTTGTCTTTTACTTTGCTTATTATTATTTCAAATAATATACAATAATAATCAAACGATTCGAACTATAAATGTAAAATAAAAGTGCAAAGATAACATACATAAACACAAATTCAAATTTCTTATAATTTAACGGATTATAATCATAAAACACAACAATAAATAGATTCGTAAACGACAAATTATGTTTTAGTTATATAGAATGGTGCATTTACATTGCGCAATCAGAGCATATACCAATGAGAACTTGTGAATTGATATTTTGTATATCGCGCGTTTACTTTGTGATTGTAAATGCATAAGTTAAAAACATAAGTTAAATATTGAATAATAATAATTTTTGTAGATATTTATATATGTAATATGCATTGCACGATCAATTGTCTGTCACAAACTACTATTATACAAAATGTGAAAGGTTTTGCGCAGATTTCTCATCTATAGTTGGCTATTCCCCAAAGTCACATCTGTCGGCCATTTTGTTAAATTTATTTCTAAACGTATCCCCTCCAAATTGAAAACAACCGAAGGTTGACGCTGTTCTCAATCTCGATAAAGTATTTTTGGTTAGGTTAATAACTGTGTAGAGGATATTTAACAGTAAGTAAATTATTATGATCACGTCTATTTCTATCAACATTGAAGTGAGGTAGAAAATTTCTACGTGTGCACGAAAAAGTACAACTTTAACATAGTTCGTAATGTGTAATTGGATGGAAGAAGGCTCGGAATAAAGAGAGGCTATGGCTACTGCTTTGATCATATGTAAAATACTGTTACCCGATCAGCCACCCATTGTTTTTCGTTACCGATCTATTTGGCACTTACTTCAATTGATTCGTCCGTGTAAAACAATTTTCTATTTCGAAATGCTTCTTATAACCTCTAAAGTCATAACCTATATAATATAACCTTAGATGTCAACATTTTAAATATTCGTTGTTTAATAAGTTTAGCGGAAACGTTCTCAAAAAGTTTCAAAATCGTAATTGGCAGATAATTTCAAATGCCTGTTACGCGTTACTAAATTAGTTTCACATACAATTCTTTTCGATATTACATCCTATGTTAGTTATTATATTTTATTAAATTTAATTTGTTCTCAGTAGGAAATTTATGAAGATGAATTTTCTGTTAAAGATTTACATTTATTGAATGAAAATAATTATTTTTTTTGCTATACAATTATTATAAACTAAAGACTTTATATAAAGGTAATTTACTATTAATTTAAAATGTGTTATTTTTATTTGAAAATTAAGTAAATAATTATTAATTGAGAAGAAAATATTTTTGAGGTCAAAACTATATTTCTTCAAATTTAACTTTAAAAACATAATTGAATATTAGTATTTCATATAATATATTTTTTGATGTTTATGTGTTTGTATATATTATGTATCTATAGTAGACATATACTTCATTTATTTCAGTGTAATGGTATATGGTATATAGATATTATATAAATGACAACCTCAAAATAATAAAATAAACAAAAATAAAATGATTATAACAATTTTAAAATTAAAAATTCTTATATTTAGTGATTTCAGTGATTAAATAAATTTACATTATAACAAAATGGATGTTGCTGGAGATTTAACGCTACAATGGGTGGAGGAGGTGGGAAATGTTATTCACGAAGAGGTAATATGTGGTTTAGAGGCACAGCTTGTTGGAGCAGAAGAAGAAGTGATAGGAGCTTGCGAAGAAGTTACAATAGAGGAAACAGTAGAATCAGTTCCCAATGTTACTTCTACGACAGAATCAGAAATACTAATGGTACCACAATCCAACGATATGGAATCTATTTATATAGTTCCACAAGATCAAGGTCATGACTATTTAAATATACAGGTTACAGAAGAAGTAATTGCAGATAATTGGGATAGATCTGGTCCAGAAGATGGGTAAGTTTAAATAAAATTTCTTTAAATTAATTAAATTTAATAAATTAAATAATTCATTAATTTTATATTTTGAAGAGTTGAAATATCAGAAACAAAAGTATCCCATGAAAATTTACTGGAATATGATGATATGGAGATACCATTACCAATTGATCAAGATTCATATACAAATAGCAGACCTTATCCATGTGATTTTTGTAGCAGAAGGTTCAGAAAAAAAGCAAATTTAATGAATCATATGGTGACACATCAAACAGATCGACCCCATGGTTGTAATTTATGTGGAGCACGTTATGCAAGAAAATGTGATTTAATGAATCATTTAAAGATTCATGCTTATGCACCACCAAGGGATGGTTTAGAAGATGATTTAAATGATGATGATTCATTGGCACCAGAAGAAGAAGAATCTACTAAAGGCAGGCGTAAAAAGGTACAATCAAGTATACCAAGAAAACGTAAAAATAATTCAATTTCAAAACGTATGGAGGATAATAAAATGGAAATGGGCAAGTACGTCAATAAATCTTACGATTATGTTGACGAAGATATGCGTCTTTTGGAAGAAATGACTAGTAGAAATTCTGCGCGCAGTGGTAACTATGCTTCGAGCTCAAGATGGACTGAACAAATGTCACCTGTATCAACTGATCCCCAAGCACCACGATGGCCTATAACTGATCCAACAAAACCATATGTTTGTCAGTATTGTGGTGTTGGTTTTGCAAGAGAAAAAGCACTTGCATCTCATGCACGTGTACATGGTGGTGATAGTCCATTTGAATGTACATCATGTGGTGATATGTTTTGGGATGTTAACAGTTTAAGAGATCATATTCGTATTAAACATGGTGGCACAGTACAATCTGATACAGAAGACTATGATAATGATGCCACATATACGGGAGATGAAAGATTTGGGGAATTTTATTGTAATACTTGTGGTGTTCCATTCCATCGTTTGGATTTACTTAAACGTCATCAAAAGTAAGATAATTTTATGATAACAGATAAAATTTATTTATTAAAATTATATGTAATGATTATATTTTGTTCAAAATTACATTTTGTTCAAATACTCTGGCAATTTGTAGGAAAATTAATGTGATATTGATTAATGTGATTGATTTTAATGTTGATTGCATTAGGATTCATGTTAAACAAGAAGCTGATATGGTGGAAGGCCCAAGTCAACATCATGTCTGTAATGTTTGTGGTGAATGGTTCGAAGAAGCTTTAGCATTATTAGCACATGCTGAACTTCATGCTAGGTACTATTTATTTAAGATTTTTTTAAATTAAAATTATATTTCTATGACAATATCTTTGAAAATTTATATTTAGGTAAATATAAAAAATTTAAGGTAAATATAAATTTAGATAACTATTGTTAGAAAGAAAATCTGTTTAATCTATCTAGATCACCTAGTCGTCGATGTTTATTATGTGGAGAAAGATGTCGTGATGATGCAGAAGTTGCTGAACATGTTCGGCAAAATCATGCTGAAGATGCTCCTCCAAATACATGTACCCTTTGTGGAAAAACCTGTAAAGATAAACGCAGTTTATTAAAGCATTCGTGGGTTCATAATGTTGACAAAACTTTTGGATGTACAAAATGTGGCAAACGTTTTCACAGCAAAGCTAGATTACGAAGGTACTCATAATTATTTTTATATTTTTGTAAGTTTAATCTTTTACTTACTAGCGGAATTTTATATCAGACATATGGTATCACATCGTAATAAGATGGTAGCTTGTGATGAGTGCGGAGAAGAATTTCCTGATGGTAGAGCTCTTGTTAGCCATCGACATTCACATAATAAAGATCTAGGCGGTCGTTCTTTCCCATGTCGAGAATGTGGAAAAACATTCGGCAGCCGTAGTTCTCAACAAATTCATATTCGTATTCACACTGGAGAAAGACCATATGGTTGTAGATTTTGTTGGAAAGCATTTGCTGACGGTGGTACTTTAAGAAAACATGAACGTATCCATACAGGAGAAAAGCCATATGGATGCGCGATTTGCCCACGTGCGTTTAATCAAAGAGTAAGGCATTTTAATTAAAGTATATTTGGCTGTTCCACTGTTATATTTTTATTTACTTTTTTTTTTTTTATTATTGTAGGTTGTTCTTAGAGAACACGTTCGTGCTCATCATTCAGGGCCTGATCCAAAATGTGTAGGTAGTATCACACCATACTTATGTAAAGTGTGTGGTGATGCATATGCAACATCGGAAGAAATAGTTGCTCATATTGTCCAACATTGTGATGATAATACTGCATTAAGACGTCAACCACAAACTGGACCACGTAAATATAAGAGAAGACGTAAATTGAAAACCCATGAAACTAATACAATGCTTCGTATGACTGAGCAGTATGATATGATGGAAGGAGGTTCTGATTCAGATGATAATACAAAAAGAAAACTTGGAAGAAAAAATAAGCAACATCGATCAAATGTTGAAGAAAGTTATCAGAATGTTCTTAAGAGTTTTGAAAACTCATTACAAAATATAAATTCTATCGTCAGCAACTCAAAATTAAATCCAGGAAAATCGAAGCTTTCTAAGAAAAAACTTCGGAAAGAAGAAAAAAAAGGTGAGGCTGAAGCTTCATGTCAATCTGGTAGACCAAAAATGATTCACACCCAAAAAACAAGAGTGCCTGTAGAAATTGGTAGTGATGGAGTTAAAAAGGGACAGAAAACTAAAACGATGGTAACAAGGACTCCTAAAATGATACCACAAGAGCATAAGCTAAATATTTTCCCAGGTGGAGAAAGAAACAGACCAAGAACAAAAAATGTTAGTTATCACATTGAAGGGAAATTTCAACCAACGTCTGCGACATTCCCAAAACCAAAGGAAGAACCTTTATTATCTCCAACACCGATACATCATCAATCACCATTAACCAACATAAAAATAGAACCTAATATGCAAAAAACATCAAATAATAATCATAAAAATAATAATGGCAATATTCTTACTATCAATAATGAAAAAATGGAATTAGCACCTAGGAAAAAATCAGGTGTCTTGAGAAAAATTAAAAAACAGAAAGATGGAATTAAGCAAGAACCAATGGATATTGACCACGAGCAAATACAAAACAATAATAATACAGAAAATACGGATTCGGAAAGATTAATGGATCACTCAATGGATGGAAGTAATTTGGAAGTTGCATTTGAAGCAAGTGTTACAACCGAAGAAGAAAATATACTTCCTGATGTAGATGAAGTCAATAATACCGAAAATATGGGAACTGGAAATGTAAAACTTAGTGTAAAAGTTGAATCGACACCTCAACGAATGTTGGCTGTTCATAGCGTTATAGCACCTGTGGACGATATTCCAGAAACTATTATACCAGATGCTGTGGAATATACATGCGAAATGTGTTCCGCAGTATTTTCCAGCCGAGCAGAATTGTTGGTCCATGTTCCAATACACATTTGATTTAATTTGTTCAATGAAATTAAAAAAGGTACGCAAATTTGTTATATTTTAAAAATATTTGTTTATTTAAGCAATATTTTAACTCAACCAATGAAAGTTTATCTGTTTATTTGAATTGGCGTTGTTAGTATGCCAAAATATCCTCTACTCGTTGCTCTATGAAGTGTACTAGAGTTTTGTGTTAAATATTTAAAAAGTTGATGCTGTCTTTAGTTTATTACGTCATTCTATGATACATAAGAACTTTCGAACATACTCGTTTTCGATTAACATTATTATTACATCTTTTTTATACTATTCGTGTTTCTCTTAAAAAAAAAAAAAAAAACTATTTGGCTCAAAATTCATATTGAATCATGATACAATGAGTAATGTTACAAATATTTTATATGTTTACAATTTGTGAAGCAAGTTACCTTGCTTACCCCAAAAGAATTAAACTCTTAGATCATTCTTTTGTCATCCACAATTTTATAAATTTAACAAAAAAAAAAAAAAAATGAAATAATGGCACGTTGTGTACATAAAATATTAAAGTATTCTAAATATTAATGCGAGTATGTTTTATAATATTACTTGTTTATATAAATTAAATCTATTCTCCGTACTTTTGCTTTTAGCTCCTAAGTAATTAGGTACATGACAGCCAATGCATTGAAGTATTATAATGAACAATTTATGCAATATTACCATCTGACTCCAGATTGTTTTTCATAAATTTTTCACTCACAATAATATTTAGAAGTCGACATAGCATAATTGGAAAATTAGATATTAACTATTTAATTCACACTTTAAGAAAAAAAAAATTAAATTTATAAATTTAAAGTCTTAAAGGAAGTAATTGTACTATTGTAATAATACACATATTTTGCATAGGTTGTATAAAAACATATTTGTGAAAATTAATTTTTGTATTTTGGAGCATTTTGTGATATAAGGAACACGAATGCATTGTTACTGTTTAATAGTAGTCACAATACAATAAAATATGCTTATTATTATGGTATACTTTGTTTATACTAACATATCTGAATGGTTTTCATAAAATTAGAATATTTTATTACATTTGGCATTACATATGATTGTATGAAACATGTGTAGAATTTTATGAAAAAGGAACATTAAAATTTTCATGTTATAAGTTTTGAAATTATTTTAATTTAAGCACTGCTAAATTATGCACAATCAAACTTTAAAGGAAGATCAAAGTTTTTTTTATAGATTTATCTTATTTATTTATTTATATTATTTGTTAAAATATAGATTTCATAGATTTCACATACCATCAATTGTATATCATTTATGATCGATGGCTACTATTCTAACATTACATCAGACAGTATATGGCAAAAAAAATGAATTTTATTTTGTTTTGGTCAATATAAATTTACATATTATTATAGGCTTACAAAAGTTTAATATTACAAAAATATTAATTTAAGTATTGGAAATAATGTATATACTTTCATATTTTAGATATATTGACAAGTAGCTTTTATTATATTGCATCTTTGTTTCATAAAAATAAATAATTAAACACAAATACTAAAGTTTTCTTTCTAGGTATTCAATAATTTTATTTATTGAATTAATTTTTAGTTATCTTTTGTCAACATATTTCATCTCTAAAAGTTACATTAAAGTATATCCAAAATCATTTTATGTAAAATGTTGATGTTCACACATATTAAAAAATATTCAAGTTTTTTATTGCATTGCAGATTGTTTTGTATTTTACTTATTAATATTCAATACTATGTTAAGTGATAATAAAAAGCAACTAATTAATATTTCAAATTGCTTAAAATCTGCAGGGTCATATAATTGAATATTATTAGTTTAAAAATTATTTAAAATATACAAGGTATTTCCTTTTATTTTGCAGAGTTAGAATATCTCGTAAAAAAATGGATCTATTAAAAAAAATGTTTTTGCAGATATTCTTTAGTACAAAGAGATCCTTTATACTAAATAACATTAATAAAATTTTTTTTTGATAAATCCGATTCCTTACGAAATGTTTCAACTTTGATAAGACTAAAATAAAGGAACCACATATATTTCATAATTTATATATATTTTCTTATATAAAATAACACGTTTTATTACATTTAATGCAAAATATTGTAATACTTTCGTACTATCATTCTTAGCTTTGAGGTGATATATGTATATGTAAATGATGTATATATATATACATGTGTGTGTGTGTGTGTGCGTGTGCGTGCGTGTGCATGTGTGCGTGCGTGCGTGTGTGTGTGTGTGTTCCAAAATTAAATTAGTTGTATTTCAATGGCATTATATGAGGCAATCAATCAAAAACTGTGTGTGCTATATTTTTATAATTAAGAGATATTTTGAATATAATGAAAATTCTGATACCATTTGTAACATTTTGCAAAATAATATGTGTATATACATATACATATATATACACACACATACACATACACATTATTATTATTATTATTATTATTATTATTATTATTATTATTATTATTATTATTTAATATTCTTATCTATGTTATAATTATCTAGAAATGGCACAATGCCCATTATTCATTTGTTTTTTTATTTTTATATACTGTATGAATTATCTAAGACTAGAAGTTGAAATATTTTGAAAACAATTAATTATATAAAAAAATATTTTAGACAAAAGTTTGAACGGTTTCAAGAGGAGTATTAGTTGATATAATTATAAGTTTTTAGTGTGGATGCATAGGAGGTATTTAAAGATCAAGTTTATTTTTTTAAATGAAATGATATAGTTTGTAATACACTTGATTCGGCTAGTCATCTTCTATAAAAAAAAATTAAACCATTTATATTGAAAAATCATTAGTTTAAAAAATATTTTAATGTGATACGTGTTCAAAGTCGAATTTCTTTGCTCAACTTCTGTCAAAAATATTTTTTGATATAATTAATCTCATCGAAAATATTTCAGCTTTTAGTCTTAGATAACTCCTTAGTATAAACAAAATTATTAGAAAAAATTCAACAAATATACCAAAAGATATTGATAATTTTATTTAAAGAAGGTATTTTGAGAAAAGCATCAGTAAAATTATATTCAAGTAATAGAGAATACGTTTAATAACTACATTCATAGGACAGCATCATATTTTGCATCTCGTGTATATACTGGAATAGTGATTAATTATTCTAGTGATATATGTAATTATGCTACTGTTATAACACTAAAGAAATATGTAAACCTGGTTTAAATTTACGTCATATAAACTAGATCTCATATAGTCTCAAAATTATAAGACATTTAAGAACAGAAAAGTTTGTATGTGACCAATGTAAAGTTACAATTTTTGGATAAGGAATATATAAATATATTTACATAAGAAACATCAAACAACTCAGACGAAAGTTGATATTATGTATAAATAATTTTTATTTTAATATTACACACAATTACATTCCCATTTAACGGTAGCTTTTGTATTATTTAAGTATAACATAAATTCAAAAATTTATTTAGTTAACACATAGAGCAGCTAGTGCAGGTGGCATTAATTGCAAAAATATTCAAATTGGAGGAAATTTTGTAACAAAATGTTTAAAAGAGGTACAGACAAGGGATCTATAATTTTTTTGATTTTTGAACTACAAGAAGATTGATTGCATGTAAGTATCTGTGGCTCCTTTCTAACGATAATTGATCTAAAATAATAGTGTAGCATATAATACTATGTTGCATGATAAAGTTTTAAAGAATTCTTATATGTATTACTTTAGTTATAATGTAAGTAATCTCCAAGAATATGTATAAATTTATAAGCTATAAATTAGCATTTTCTTGATAGAATTGTTTGTATCTATCAGGGATAAAATAGCTAAAGAATGAAAGTGTACATA